AAAGTAAAAACAGCCCTAGGCATTTGGGTAGCTCAGCCCTAAACTAGGCTGCCACTGAAATAGGACAGTAAAAATAAAACAACTTAAAGGTAAAGTTTCATTTACAACTTCCAAATTACCTCACTGAGCCTCTCTAATAATTAGAGTTCTCCTACCGATGGTACACAACCCCACAAGAAGGTATTTGACAACAGCCCAGCTGGCTGGGTAATCACTATGTCTGTGTGTGTGAGGGGGCGGGGGAGTGACTGGGGAGAGGCATCAGGAGGGCTCTTCGGGAGCTGGGGGGGTCTGCTTTTGCCCTGGTTGTTGGTTAGCCACTATTGTGTTCACTTGGTAAAATTCATCAAGTTGTAACTTACAACTGATGCACGTTGTTCTTGAATGTTTACAAGAAGAAAAAAGAGCACAGTCAGAGACATTGTATAAGGAATCTTTAGAGTAGAGACTTATATAAGGGATCCAATAGGGTTCTTCTAATCATGTGCTTCCAAGAGTTTGAGATTCTAGGATTTGAATTTTCCAAGATGCTATGATTCTCTTGAGTCAATTCCCAAGACTTCAGGAGCCCCCCAATCTGTCATAGTAGCTAATGTCTAATGAGCTTTGAACGTGTGCTGGGCCCTATGCTAACAACTTCTCTGAGGCAGATAGCACTGTATACCCTGCACCCTCAGAGAGGGGAAGTGATGTGTCCAAGGTCACACATAGACAGCAGTGCAGGCAGGACCGGAGGCCGAGCACCCTGGCTCCAGAGCTCATGTGCCCAACCCTGGCGCAGTACTGGTATCCAGCTCTGCCCCTTCCCAAGGCTAAACTCCTAGGCATCTAAAATACTGCAGTTTGGGGCCACGCAGTCATGCATTTGCTGGGAGGATCCAGAGGGAAGGGGATGCTGCAGGTACAGAGAGCAGCCCTGACCTGGGACGCGTGAGCACGCGCACACTAACGTTACCCCGCAGCTGGCCCATGTACGGTCCTGCCCCCCTTGCACCCATCCAGGCCAGCTGCTGTGGGCATTGGAGCCGAATGGGAACTGGAAAATGGAGAATTCTCCACTGCGGGCTCCCTGCCCCCAGCACGGGGATGGACAGGTGCCTCACAGGGGCCACTCCAGTCTCAGGAACAGGAGAAGACTCAGGACTGAGAGAAGGGGAGGGATTTCTCTCTTCCACGGGCTCTGAACTGGAAAATGTTTGAGGCATCACCTCTTTCATACTCCTTGGCCTGTCACATAAGGCCTGCAATGACCTGGCCCCAGCCTACCTCTCAGTGCACGCCTCCAACCGTTCTGCACCCAGCTGATAGTCTCCCGCACACACCTGCCGCGCCTTCACACATGCTACTTTCTCTTTCTGAATCGCCTTTCCTACTTGTCGTTATTCAGACTTCAAAACTGATGTTTAGTGCCAGCACCTCCAAGAAGCCTTCCTTCACTGACCTATAACTGGGCTGGCTGTCGCTCGTGTGGGCCCCCAGGCCAGTCCGAGTTTGTCTCTATATTACCACCTCCCTCAAGGTACTAAACCGTCCATTTATAGGCCTGTCTCCCCCAGCCGTGAATCTCTGGGGGCCTGACACACTGTTGGCGCTCATTAGGTGTAGTGAGTAAGTGCCCGGAGGACAGAAGCTGTGGGACAGAGGGGAAGTGGCTGAGCCTTTCTGGGGGTCTCCTGTCTCCATACGGAGAACAGCACGGACGGCAGAGGAAGCGCTCCCGGGCAATGCCTGCTGACGTGCAGGGCAGGTGTGCAGAGCAGAAGGTCCTCGTGAAACAGTCTAACCTGGCGACAGGCACACAGAAGGGCCGGTAAATGAGAGCTGCCCTTTCCATGTTTAAATCCCATGCTCAGCATGGCTCCCTGTTGGCTGCAAACGACCCAGGACGCCATTACAAACTGGTGGCTTGAGGCAAGAAATTCAAAATCTATGGTTCCATCCGTAAAATGGGACCAACGATTCTTGGAGACTCCAGGGAACTCCTGAGGCTCCTCTAGGTGTACAGTTACTGATACCTGCCGACTCGCTGGCGGGAGTGATGACGCGGCGTGCTGGTGGGTGTCAGGGGCGGGGTCGGATCGATGAGGTTTATGTCCCCTGTCCCCTGAAGGACAATGCAGAGTCTAGCCATTGGCCTGGTTGTGGATCCCAAATTGCATTCTGAGGATGTGAAGACGATTCGCTGGCCTCCTAGATGGTTGACCCCACTAGGAAGCAATACCCTTTCCTGAGCCAGACTCTGAGAGAGGGGCTGAGGTGAGTGAAAAGGTGTGGGAAGTAGTCCTGCCTTCCCCGCTCACTTGCTGTGTGACCTCAGCCAAATGCTCAGCGTTCTCTGGCCAGGCTGCTGTGTCTCCATCTGTCTGATTCGATTATCTCTAAGGATCCTTCTGCACCCCCGCCCCCCACTCTTATTGATCTGTGGTTGGGTCAGGCTAATGCTTAGTTCCTCTAAGTGACAGTTCTCATCTATGAATTAGAAATGAAGATTCATTTGTTCTCTCAGCAGCTATGCAATGAGCATCTTTGATGGGCCAGGCACTGTGCTGGACACGGGGGCCAGAGCAGTGAGCAACACTTAGTAGGAGAGACAGTACCCGAAAAAAAACCCTCAAATAATAACTGCAACTCTGATTTGTTTTACGAAGGAAGACTTCAGGGCACTGTGAGCTGGTCTCCACCCAGGGGAAGCAGAGTGAGCTGGTTAATTGATGACCGTGAGCGTAATGAATACGACCCTGTGTGCTACATGCATGACCTCATTTAAGTGTCACATCCATCTCTGAGAAATGGACTATCATTAGCCCTCTTTCTCATATTAGGAGACTGAGGTTTAGAGAAGTTGAGGCCCAGGTCACACAACTAATAATATCCAGGATTTGGATCCACATGTGTCTTTGTAAGCCTGTCTAGAAACCCCCATTATAAATGTAAGCATTAAGACCATTAGCCATAGAAATAGTAGCATTCAGATTCTGAGCCAACTCAGCTTGTGCTAGCGACCCAGGAAGCATGGGAAACTTCTAGAGGCTCTGCCCTGTCCATTTCCAAAGGAGCCCAAAAGGCAGGGCCCATCCAGGGGGCATAGAAGGTCCTTGATTGTACCGACATCATTGCCTGGTTTTCTTTAAGACATGGCCCTTACCCCACATTCTCTCCTACCTGGCCCCACCTGGCCAGCAGGAGTGCCAGCACCATGGCCTGTCATGGGGCAGCTGGAAGGAGAACTTCTAGCCTGAGGTGAGTTCATTTGAACCCAGGGAAGAATGTGCAGGGAGCGGAGCATGGTGGCCCAACTCACAGAAGACTGGTGTAGAGCAAGCCTGGCCGTCCCTCCCTGTAGAAAGCACAACCACAGCTGACACAGAGGGGCTGGAGAAGGTCCGTGCCCTTCTGGGTCTGTCGCCTGAGCCCTTAAAGAGAGCACTAAGAGTCATGGAATCACGGGGGGGGCGGGGTTCCAGGGAGACCTTGACTCCCTCTAGCTCCTCTTCCATTTTACAGATGATAAGCTTGAGGCCTGGGCAGCTCATGGGAGAGGGGGGTGTGTCACTGCTGCATTCTGTCAGGCTAGCCAATGTCATGGACTCAGCACCTCCCTGCCACAGTGTAACCTGTGGTCCCTGGAGAACAAGGGGGGAAACCTGAGCTTGCCCCCGGGTTCCTCACCTGCAAAATAGACAGCTATTCCTACTTTGCTTACCCAACAGGCTTACTTGGGTGAATCAGTTAAGAATGGATCATAACATTAATCTAGCCACCTTTATTTTATATGTAGGGAAATAGGCCCAAAGAGGTATGGAACCATCTTACACCACACAGCCTGTGAGTTTCAGAGACATGAATAATGAAATTCTCTTTCCATCCTCCTTCAAAAACTCACAATTTTCAAATGACCATGCATACTCAGCCCAGCCCCTAAACACAGGAAGCATTCAGCCAGTATCAACAGTAACAGTAACTATTAGGAGTGTTCTGCATGGAGGGCTCTGTTAATCTGCCCGGGTTCAACTCCCCCTCTGTAAAAGGAGCCCCGAGCCTGCTTCTCTACCTCTCTCTCCTGAACCAAGGCCGCCAGCGCCAGAGTGTGGCAGGGAACAGAGGCAGCCCTTCTGAGCCCTCAGCAAACCCCAGCATGCTCTGCTGCTCCCCACAGTTGGGGCATATAGCACACCCTCTCTGCAGTGGAGGGCTGAACTCTGGCCTGATGGCTCTGCTCAGCGTTCCACTTCAGCTCACCTGCCTCCAAAGATATGCATCGGATTCCTGCTTCCCCCAAGACAGGGGAACAGAACTGCTCCCACTCACCCCACGCCAGGGCTGCCTCTGCTGTCTCTCAGACTCACAGCCTTTTACAACCCTCAGAGATGGTGAGCACCCTCATTTTATAGCCAGGAAAGCTGAGGTTCTAATCAGGGTGCCTCAAGAGCCACACAAGAGCCAGGGCTGGCCAGGTTATCTGACTGTCCCGCAAGCCCTCCTTCCCTCCTCCACACCAGGTGGCTTTTCTGTAATAGGACTCCTTTGCCCCCCTGGACACACACAAGAAGCCAGCACTTCTTGGTTCCCTGGCCCCAGCACTTCCCCTCTAAAACCATGCAGGAAAATGTCACCACATCCCCCGGAAGGCTCATCTTCAGAAAGCCTATGCGGAGACTTTCATTCTTCCAAGGACACGACTCCAACTTTTCACACGTGCAAATATGACCTTGCTCCTTCATGAGATCAAAATCCTGGCCTTGTCCATTCCTGGGCCCCAATCCCCAGCCCGCAGGCTTGGGCTGGCTACATCTCTGGCTTCATTCAGTGTACTTAGGCACCAGGGGCCCAGGTGTCCCTGCCCTACCCCCACCATGCCTGCCCCTTTCAAATCCTGGTCCCGTCCCTGTCCCCACCGTCCAAGAGCCTTGGAATGCCCCCACCTGCTCTGGAACAAGGCACAAGAATGGATTCACTTTGCAACCCCCTCCCCCAACCTCCCATCCTCCAGCAGTCCTTACCTATGCCCTTCAGGTAGGGGAGGGTGCCCCAGGGTGGGCTGCTGGGCTGGAGCCCTTTCCACACGAACCAGGCTGACAGGCTCCCGAGGGAGGTGCAGAGACTCAGAGCAGGAAAGCCCGAAGCACTCGCACTCCGGAGAGGCTGCTGAGAAAGTTGGAGTAGGTGTGTCCCAGCCCAGGAGGGGGAGGAGGAAAAAGGAGGTGGGCGAATTGAGGCGGATCATCCCCTCCTGCCAGCTCTCTGTCTCACGGAGAGGGAGGGAGGAAGCCAACTGGTTTGTGGCCCAGAACTCACAGTGGGGAATCGAGTCATGGAAAATGACGGCTGGAAAGTTGCTGAGAAATCAGGCCCATCTCCACCTCCCTCCTGGGTTTGACAGAGGGATAAACTGAGGTCCTAGGCAGGTAGTACTCACGGGGGGACCAACAGAGACCATGAGGGGACTGGGGAAGGACCCGGGTTGCTAAACTCTCAGCCAGTGTTCCCTCCACATTCCTCCCTGACACTACAGGTCTGAGACCACCCCCACCCCCCCCACCCCCGCCCCAGGCCCAGTTCAAAACCCTGGTGCTGCCACCTACAAGCTCAGTAACCTTGGGGGAAATACTGAGTCGGAGCCTCAGTTTCCTTTTTTGAAAAGATGGGGATAATAATAACTCTTACCTCATGAGGAGTCAATGAGATAAAGGTTAAATGGAAATCACTTAGCAGAGAAAGTCTCCTGTAAGAGGTGATTATTCTTCTTACTGTTACTAGCTGTGACTTTCTCCATAAGCGGCTTAACCTCTCCAAGCTCTGGCTGCCCCACCTGTGAAATGGGGGTACCAAGAATCCCGGCTTCATAAGGTTGTGCAGATTCATGGGATAGATAATGTGTGTAAAGTGCCAAGCACAGAGCCTACATCTCACTGGGAAGCAAGACATCTTAGTTTTGGTACGATTTATGGGGTGCCTCTCTGCTCTGGTTCCCCAGATGACTCTAATGTGCTCCCTGGGTTGAGAACCAGTGTTTTAAGGGAAGGGAAGAAAAGTCAGACAGGAATTAGCCCTCCTCCCTCTCTTGCTGCTGTGCTTCTTAGTTATAGAATGCATTCATTTGCTTGTTTTCTGTGACACTCTATACCTACCCTCTTCCAGGGACTGTAGCTGGTGCTGGGGACATAGAGGTAAATGAAACTGTTCCTGGCCACCCCCCACCCCGAGCTGAAAATGACTCTACAACCATCTATCCAGTCCCTTCCCCGCTCCCCAGGACTTGCAGCCCCTCTGCAGCTTCCCTGGTGAATAAGTGAGACTTTGCTTGCATACCTCTAATTATAGGGAGCTCATTACCTCTCCCAGCAGTCAGTTCTGACTCCTGGCATCTTTATCTGATGTTCAGCTGAGCCCCAACCCTTGAACCTGCATAATAAACAAGAATTCTACATATCTTGGGGCGCCTGGGTGGCTCAGTAGTTAAGCGTCTGCCTTCGGCTCAGGTCATGATCCCAGGGTCCTGGGATTGAGCCCCGCATCGGGCTCCCTGCTTGGTGGGAAGCCTGCTTCTCCCTCTCCCACTCCCCCTGCTTGTGTTCCCTCTCTCGCTGTCTCTTACTCTGTCAAATAAATAAATAAAATCTTTAAAAAAAAAGAATTCTACATATCTTTATTATTACCATTATTATAAGCTATGTGATCCAAGGCAGATGATTTAAATTTGCTAAGTCTCTGTTTCCTCGATTTTTAAATGGGCTGACAATTCCTGGGGCTGCTCAGAACAGATCTGTTTTCTCTGCCATGTGACCACAACTGAGGTCTGTTTTTATGGCTAGGATGTGGTTTTCTAGAAGTTTAGGCTGGACCCTAAGGATAACTGGAAGCATTAAGGTTCTGGTCTCGGTGCTTATGAAGGAGTAATGAGGCTCTTGGCTCTTTCCCAGCTCTCAGGAGCTATTCGTTCATGAAGCCACTGTGGGCTGCACGCTTGGGGATCTGTCACTAGCACTGGGGAGGACTACGGTGCCAAGCAGGCTGCCATGGTATGTTGCCCAAGACGTCCAGAGGAGAATCCCCCAGGCCTCTCTCCTGCAAGCTACCTCAGCCCTGGATGAGAGGCCTGGGGATAGGCCGCATGAGGGGAGCTCCAGTGGGAAGACTAACCTGAGCAATTATCCACCTGACTGATTGCCACCCAAGTCTCTGAGTCTCGGCCGATTAGGCATTAACCCGAGGGAAGGTGGCTGAGTGGCCCCATGAGCCCTTTGACTAGTCATGTGCGGAATAGCAGGCGGCTCTCTTCCCTCAGGTCCCTATCTAGGCCAAAGCTGGCCTTCAGCCTGTCCAGTGCAGAGCAGCCTGCAGCCTAGGGAGGGAAGGGAGGGATGAATATTGGTATGGATTGCAGAACCCTGTAATGCCACTGACATTCATCCCCTCTCCACTTCCCCGTCACTCCTGACCCAGGCCCTGGTCCTTCTTCCTTCTGGCCCCAGGATCTGACCGGGGCATCTGCTGGCCTCTAGTGTCCTGTGCACCAGGGAAATTGGACTCCTCAGGGTCCCCCAAGCATACCTGGAGACTTCTCGAAGACAGCTTTCTGGACATCTAAGATTGTCCCTATCCGTCTTAGTACAGCCCATAGGCCACCTCCCCTCCGTGAGCTCCCCCAACCATGCCCCTGACCTGAGTGAGAAGTAATAATAACAATAATAGCTAATCTTTATGTCAGGCACTCAACTCAGCACTCTGCCGGGATTATCTCATTTCTCTGAACGCCACCATAGTGGATTAGGCACTGTTATCATGCTCTATTTTTCAGATAAAGAAACTGAAGCTCAGAAAAGCTTTAATTACTTGCCCAAGGTCACAGGTCTAGACTAAGCTAAGTTTCAAGCTCCCTTCTCTCTGAACTCCTGAACCACTGGGCTGTACTCTCCTGGGTCTGTCCGTCCCCCTGCAGCCCTCTGACAGAACCTCCTGTGTGACCCTCTGCTTTGGGTTCTACTTCCTATGTGCCTCTCTTCAGCCTGGCCTGCTCCACTGTAAGCTCCTCAGGGATGGACCTCTGTCTAACTCAGTGCTTCTCCACCAAGACAGCACGTTGGCATCACCGGCATCACCTGGGTGGGCCTGGAGCACCAGTGTTTCCCACACAGCACCAGGCACATTGTATTAAAAGGAATTACATGTGATCTGAATCATCTGTAGGCACCTAAATTTCCCTATCTCAACAAAGCAGGTGTTTGAACTCAGATCTTTAACTCCTAGCTCTGATGTTCTAAATTCTAATATTCTTTACAAGGATGTTGTCGGCTTCTAAAGAGAGACCTAGCGAATAGTCTCTGTCCACCCCCGCCACGTGCCTGAGGAAAGCCGTATTACCCCTGTGGACTGGATGAGCTCTTTCTCCTCCCTCCTAGGTTTTCCTTTCCAGAACAATCTATCCACATTTGCCGTGGGACAGAGTATAAAGGGGGGACCTGAGCAGTGATGAAAACTCTGACTAGGTGGCCAACTTCAGGGTGCCCATAAAGTCTGAAAGCACAGGTCGTATTATTTTCATTTTCAACAGACCGCACCCTTTTGATTCCTTTTGGGGCAGGCTAAAGTCTCAGGTTTCTTCATTGAAAATCGACACACATCATCAGAGACAGACAGCATATCACAGATGTGTGTGCAGGGTCAGCTGACCAGCATCCAGGCTGGCCCAGGGCTGAGGGGTTCCCAGGGATCGGAACTTTCAGTGCTATGACCAGGACAGTCCCAAGGAAACACCCTGGGACTGCTGGAGGGAACTGCTGCGTTCCTGCATTATGCGTATGTGTTGTATACCCAGAGTAGGTGCCCAGTGAGTGGGGTCCACCTGGGAAGACCAGCCTTGAGAGAAGATTCAGCTCACTGGGGACAGCTGGCTGAGGGACTGGCTACTTTGAGACAGCATGTCAATGAACTTGAAATGCACCTGTCATTTCCAGGGCTGGGGTCCCTTCCATCACACTGCCTTCTCCCTGGAGAGGGTCACACAGCAGGATGGGAGTGAGGCTGGGAGATAGGTACAGAGCGGAGACCCTGGAGTCTGGGCTGTGGACCTGTGGACAGGAAAGGCTCTAGAGGCCTGGCTGTCAAAGGGTCATGATGCCTTTAAGGAGGATGAAGTCATCGGGGGCCGAGGCCACCTGGCTCTGTGAGGGCTGCAGCCTGCAGCCGAGAGGGGGAAGCAGAAGGTGGAAGGCAGGTGGGCCGTGGGGGCCGAGCTTGGGATGTCAGCTCTGCAGCGGACAGACGGGACCCAGCAGGAGTTGGAACAGCCAGCCCTGGCATTGCCTGGGGTGCTCGGGAATGTAATCAAACACTCAGCAGACCTGCTGGCCATGGGCACCTGGGCACCACCGGGCCCTCCAGCTCATCCTGACCCCCAGCTGGCAGTTCTGACAGGCTCCTGCCAGGAGAAGCGTCCGGCCTTGTTGGCCGAGCCCGTGAGCATGAGCTCATCTGCTGCCAATCCGGCCCTCAGTCAACCTGCCCCAGGCTGGCGCTGGCAGGTGGGGCTCTGGTGCTGAGAGCTACTGGAGCCGGGCTGGCTGGTTCAGTGGCCTTGGTTAGGTCACCCCATTAGGAAGCTGGGATGGGGGGAGTCACTCTGAGGTCTGGAAACAGAGCCTCGGCTGTTATCCCCACCTTTACCTGCCCCCAGACTTGGGGCTCAGATGTGGTTCTGGCCAGGGAAGCAGTACCCCTCCCATGTCCCCTTCTCCACAACCATGTACTGTATTTCCAGCCTCATCTCCCCTTTCTCCCTCTTGTGTAGTAACAACAGCAATAATAATGATTGTGGTAATAGTAACTCACATTTGTTATAATTTATTAAGTGCTAGGCTAAGCATCATCTCCTATGATCCTCAAATAAATCTTCCTGATGAGATACTATTATTTTCATTCTCATTTTGCAGAGGAAGGAACTGAGATTCAGAGAGTTTAAAGTGACTTGTCCAAGGTCGTCATACCCTTAAACGGGAGATTGAGGATTTGAACTCAGTTTATCTACTTCTAAAACCCATGCTTCTATCATGGACATA